GAGGGGACATGGTCTCATGCATGGTCTCAAAGGATCACTTTGGCTGTCTTGAGTCTTGGGAGTGTGCGCGGGGGTTGGGCAGAGCGGAAGCAGGAAGGCCAGTGGGGACTTCTGTAAAAGATGCTGCCAGTTTGGACTAAGGAGGTGACGGTGGAGAGCCAGAGAAGGAGAGCGGAGGGGACTTGCCAACGGACAGGAGGTGGGGCAAGCGAGGAGGAATCGGGGACGACTCCCCACTTGCTGTGACATGTGCGTCCTGCCTGTCGGATGGGGTGCCTCTGATGCTCGGGACGTGTGCTCCGTGTTTTCTCCTCCTGGGAGAGACAGGGTGGCACTATCCCCATCCTCCTCCAGCCCTACCGAGGTCGCACATTTGCTGGATGGCTGGCCAGCATTAGGAGCCCCGGCCGGGAGCAGAGAACAGATGGCTCCTTGTGCTGGGCTGAGGGGCTGACCCCATGCCCTCAGTCTCATTAGTGGGCCCACGCTCAGACCAACCAAGCCAGCGGGGTGGGGTAGGGGGGTCGGGGAGGGTGGTGAGGGTAGCTGATCACTTATAACTGCTCACACAATCAGCCAGAGCTGGAGAGGGCTAAGGCGTACGTGTGCATGTGTGTGTGTGTGTGTGCGCGTGTGTCTGTCTGTCTGTCCATCTGTCTGTCTCAGGCAGGCTACATTTGGAGTGGGGAGTATGGTTCAGGGCAGGGAGAGTAAAACTGGTCCTAGAACGTCAGGACATTCCTAACAAACAAATTCCAGACAGACACTTAAATTCTTTACCTGAAGAATACCACCTCCACGAAATCTTTACCTGCTACAGGTGAAGAGACAGAGTGATGGGTAATGACGTGGCTGCCACTCACCGTGTCGGTCTCACTGCCAGGCCCTAGATGGACATCTCCTTGCATCCTCAGAAGCTCCCAGCACAGTAGGCACCAGCATCATCTCATTTCACAGACCGAAGACTGAGGCTTAGAGAAGTTAAGTAACTTGCCCAAGGTGACAGCCAGCGAACGGGACAGGGATGAGACCCAGTTCTATCTGACTCTAAACCCACGTTCCCAACCACTGCCACCACCCTGCCTCCATTTAGGCTGGTTGAAGATTCATCTCCTGGTTCCAGGGGTGAAACTAGGGGCGGGAGCTTGTCTTCTAAAAAGTGGGTCCAGGCTTGCCAGCGAGGAGGAAACCAGCCTCAAGTTTCACTGCTGGAGACCCAGCAGGCCAGAGATGGACCCGCTACCTGGATTTAAGGCCTCTGCTCTCATCCATGCCGGTGGCAGATGGTGCCCCGTGGCGGGGGCAGCTGGGAAGGGCAGTGGGTAGGAACATGGAGGAGCTTGGGGTTGGCCAGCTAAGGGGGGGACGCAGACACAGCAGTGCCCGCGCAGTAGACAGCCTGTTCCAAGTCAAGCTGCCCCAGGCAAAGGGTCAGGTCACGCCTCCTTTCCTGGGGCCCATGGGGTGTCCTCCTGCCTCCTGCCCAGGTCAGCCAGGCGCTCAGTGGAGGTGATACACACCAGTAACCCAAATGCCATCACCAACACCAGCTACACTCTTATCATTCAGCCGGAGGGTCTGCGCCTAAACTCACGCTCCTGCACACACCATGCTGGTATCACCTTGTTTACCATTTAGGGCCTGGGATTTTGGCTAACTTAGAGGTCAGTCTGACAACCGAAAGGGAAAACCTCACTACTGGATTGTTTTTGCCAACAGGGACCAGGCCCGCATGGGGGATTTCCTGGGGACCGCCATCCACGTAGATCCCCAAGGCCCAACCTCACGGGGAGTCCGACAGGAGCCCCTTATAGACAAGACAGGAAGTGCCCTGTGACTCGGGGAGCACAGAGAAGGGGTAAGGAATTCTGCCCGGCCAATTGGGGAAGGCAAGACATGGGGTTTTAAAAACATCAGAATATGCTGGGCATTTTCCACGCCCCTGTTTTGAGCCTGCTGAATAGGAATCAGGAAGTGTGTTGAGTCTGAGGATGAATACAGAAGCGGAGCTGAGAAGCGGGTCTCTGAGGGTCTCTCCAGTCACCTGTGCTGTCTGCCCTCAGGCTGCAGAGGTCCCCTTCCCAGGAGGGAGCAGGGCGAGCAGAGCGGCCGGGCTCTATTTCCAGCACTATCACTGACTCATGGTGCGACCTTGCCGAGGTCATGGCTCTGCATTCCTCGCTGGGGGATAATCAGAGGTGGCAAGGCTTGCGTTTTCCCAAAGGATGGGAGTCTTGGAATAGGAGGGACCTCCCTGCTCCCCAGGAGCCTCAGCTCTGTCTGGCCCTGAGGATGCTAATGAAAAACTGCTTAGATTTGGCTTCAAGGCACTTGGGGGGCACTCAGAGCAAGAAGCAAGGAGTTCCTGCTATAGCAAGACTTATGGCCGTTTTTAACGCAGTCTTTCTCCAAACACTTTGCAGATCACGTTCCACACCGATGTTTCCCCACGTGGCTCCACATTGCTGGTGGAAGGGCAGACGGAAGGTATTTTCTCTCTAGTTTCAGGAGGAGGTGATCAAGGCCAGGGGTGATATTTCTCCACATTTTCATACCAGAGGCGCCTTTTATTACTCACTACCATGCGTCCATGCCCTTTTGCGAGCCCTTGCTAACTGCTCTGCATTTATCCAGTAGACAGTCACCTCTGTTTTCATTACTCAAAGTCACCCATGAGTGCCAGTCTCTGCTCAGCACAAAAGAACTGGGGCTACCACCACGCTCGTGGCCAAGAGTGACTTCCTCATAGGTAAAGGCTCGATTTTCACCAGATTTTTTTGAAATTCTGGAAAGAGTTCATTCTCATGGGGCCCAGGCACCCCAGACTGGGAAGTACTTCACCAGAGAAACTGAGTGGCTCCTGGAAGGTTCTGTAGCTAGTGGTGGGGCCAGGACCAGGTCCAGGGGCGTGATTCCCAGGCCAGGGCTCCAGCCAACCAGACCACTCGGCAGGGAGGGCTGGTGCACAGAACACAGGCGCAGAGTGCACGCATGCAAGATGGCAGGTGTCCCAAAGCAGCAATGCTGAGCTCTCAAACCAGTCATGAATAGGGTCCCCTCGGCACTGGAGCGAGCAGTTGGAACCGAGCCTGAGACTGGAAAGGTGGAGGGTGTCACAGATTGATCCAGGGTGTTCTTGGAGAGCTAGAAGGGTGGGGGACCTTTTTATTCTGCCACCTGCCTGAACTTTGTCTGACACCACAATAACGCATCATTTGTGCCGCCTGGGGCTCTCCCACCCACTCTGAGGATTCAGATTATTCTCCAGCGCCTGCCTCTTCAAGGGGATGAGACCAGAGTGGGGGCTGAGCCTCCGCAGCTGGGATGACAAAAGCAAACTGGGGACCCTGGGAGACTGGGGATACAGAGAGGGGACTCGGGAGGGCTGGCTTGGTGGCCTGGGATGTAAGGAGAGAAAGAGCTAGAGGACCCCCAGTGCCTCAAAGCACCCTCCTGTGTCTCTGACCCTCCCCCCAGGGTCCCTGCACACACTCATCATCTGCTGAGCCACTGGCTCAGTCCCAGAGGCTCAGGGTTTTGATCCATCGGAAGGCATCAAGACTGCGTGTACCTTTGGAAAAGGCTGGGGGCTTAGCTCTGTGGCTTCAGAATCCCAGCCTCCACCAATCGGCATCGGGGCCAGGGCCAGGGCAGGGTCTCTGGGGGCCTGTGCCCAACAGCTGTTCCCTGGGTTATTTTGGTCCACTGGGAGCTTATCAATTCCAGGGTATTTGGACCAAAATAGCCAGCAGCAGGACAATCTCTTGGTGGTTCTGTGGAGACCTCTGCTTAGAAAAGTTTCAAAATGGGGAGGGGGGAGGGAAAGGAGTTTGGCCTGGGGGGTGGCGAAGAGTGGAGTCTCCTGCCACTGTCGGAGCCAAGCTCCCCACCCTTATTGTCCTTCCAGCCTTGACCACTCCCTGATCACCTCCCTTGGGGACCAAAGCTGGGGGTTCGGGGTGGGAGGGAGTAAGAGTCAAGAGGAAAAGATCATTTTTAAACTGTTTCTTGACACCGTGGTCCTCCCCCCAAAACTGGTGTCATACATATTACATTCTCCCATTTTATAGATGGGGTAAACGGGGTCCCGAGACAGGGAGGCGCTGGTACTGAGGCCACACAACTAGGAACGCGGGACACAGTGCCTGTAGGTTGCACCTCGGCTAGACGAGCAGCAGATCTGCCCAGCGGACGCCAGCTCCCCGGCAAGCTCGGGGCCAGTACGGAAAGTGCTGACTGTCCCTGGCTTTCCTTTGGGCCACAGCGGGGGGCCCTGGCAGCTGCCGGCCTCGCTGACCCCGCTGCCTCACTGAGGTGGGTCAAGTGCGGGTGGGGGGAGAAGGAAGGAAGACCAGCCACCCCGGAGCTCCTTGGAGCCCACTGGAGCCCGGCCCAACCCCAGGTCAGCAGCCCCTGGCACGGTCCCTGAGAGCCCGCCGGGATTGCCCCAGGCACAGAACCACAGTGACCTAGGTCGCGCTTCCTTTGGCAACCGGGGTGGCCCGCGGCGAGCGCGCTTTGGCACCAGGCGGGCGCGGGGGCACGGGGCGCACGCCCTCTGGAAATCGTTGGGGTCGGGAGGCGCTGGGTTACTGAACTTAGTCGTTGAGAGCTCCTAGCCAAGTCCGCGCGACAGGTCTTATCGCCGGGTCCGGGAAATAAGCTGCCTGGGTGGGGCCGCGTTTGGCGACCGCTAGTCGGCCACCCCTACTGCTCCCGCCTCTCCCCTGGGATTTTCCAGCGGGTTAATTTCCTGTCGGAGTAAATCCTTCGCGAGTCCCTCGCCCCTCCCTCCCCAGCTCTCCTCTCTCGGTTCGTGCCGCCCCGGGCTCCCCTAGTCCGTCCGCGCCGCGCTCTGTCACCCCCGCGCGCCCGGGCGCACGCCCTCCCCGCCCTCCGGCTCCCAGCGCCCGGCGGCCGGGGCCCCGCGCGCCGCCTCGCGCCAGGCTCGTCCCGAGGGCCGCGTCCGCGTCTCCGCGGCTCGCGCGGGTCCCCCGGCCATGCGCCCCCGCGCCGCCCCCCGCGCCCCCGCCGGCGCCGCCGCCGCGCTCCGGCTCTGCAGCCTCCTGCTGCTGCTCGGGCCCGGGCACGCGTGCCCCGCGGGCTGCACCTGCACCGACCCGCACACTGTGGACTGCCGCGACCGCGGGCTGCCCAGCGTGCCCGACCCCTTCCCCCTGGACGTGCGCAAGCTCCTGGTGGCCGGTAACCGCATCCAACACATCCCCCAGGACTTCTTCATTTTCTACGGCGACCTGGTCTACCTGGACTTCAGGAACAACTCGCTGCGCTCGCTGGAGGAGGGCACGTTCAGCGGCTCGGCCAAGCTCGCCTTCCTCGACCTCAGCTACAACAACCTGACCCACCTGGGCGCCGGCGCCTTCCGCTCCGCCGGGAGGCTGCTCAAGCTGAGCCTGGCCAACAACAACCTGGCGGGCGTGCACGAGGCCGCCTTCGAGACCCTGGAGTCGCTGCAGGTGCTGGAGCTCAACGACAACAACCTGCGCAGCCTCAACGTGGCCGCCCTGGCCGTGCTGCCCGCGCTGCGCACTCTGCGCCTGGATGGGAACCCCTGGCTCTGCGACTGCGACTTCGCCCACCTCTTCTCCTGGATCCAGGAGAATGCGTCCAAGCTGCCCAAAGGTGAGCCAGCGCGGGGCGGCCAGGCTGGGCTGGGGGAGGCGGGGCGGGAGAGACCCCCGCAGCTCAGGAGCCCCCGGGCAGGGCGCCTCTGGCTGAGCCTAGAAGAGGAAGCTCTGGGGCAGCTGCCCTGGATGAGAGTTGCTGCGGGTAAGGTTCCCAGTCTGAACTTGTCCTGGAACTCTCCTAGGGCGGGGGGCTGGGGAGGGACACATCTGGAGTCCTGGCTCCTGATGCCATGCGTCTCCCTCTGTTTCTCCAGCAACTCCCTTTCTGAAGTTGGGTATCTAGCATTTCTGGGTCACCCACCATCAAGATCAAGATGAGCTCAGGGGCTTTGGGTCCCAGCACTGGCAGATGCTGCCTATTACAGGCTCCTCCTAAGCGGAAGACGTCCTACTGTGTGGGAAATGGCTCACCTGCCAGAGAGCGCTCAGCTCCCTGCGCTGAGCATTGAGAGGGAGCGGGTGGTTCTGAGAACTCGCCAGCAGCCTCCAGAGCCTGAGCAGGTCTCAGGTCCTCAGCTCCCAGCTTGCTCTTCTGTCTGAAAGGGGTGAGGAGTGCTCCTGGTGAGGAGTGGCAGCCCAGCAGGAGCCAGCAAGGCAGTAAGGCTTTGCAGGGCCGTGGCTTTTCAGCCCGGATATGAAACAGGGACTGGTGCCCTTTTGCTTTCCTGGCTCACTTTTCAGAGGGGACGTGGACGTGCATACATACATACGCCTGGCAGACGGGAACATGAGAGCACAGCGGCTACGCGGCCCTGTGAAGGCCAGCGGGAAGGAGGCAAAGGCAGAGCTGAGAAGGAGGGAACCCCGGCATCATAGGCATGAGCCCCAGGACAGGGAGCAGGCGGGACGTCCTTGCCCTCAGCGGGTTCCAGCCTCCCACTCACCGGTGAGCATGTGAGCCTGGATCCCAGCAGTGACCTCTCAGAACCATTCTCTGCCTCCCTCCCACCTTGTCCCCAAGGGTTGGGCAGAATGGGAACCAGAGCCCATTAATAAGGTGCCCATTTTAAAAGGTGACGTAGATGAGGGTTTAGCTTTTGTACCTTTTTCCATTTACCGAGAATTCAAGGGTGCTGCTCCCCTAGGCCCTGAATTCCTGTGCTCACTTATTCATTCCACACTTGGCTAAGCACAAACCCCAGGCACGGGGGCAGTTGCTCCTCAGCAGACGCAGGCCCCTGAGCTGGCACCTGCAGCCCAGGCTGGCTCTCCCACCTGGCAAGTCCTAAAAAGATCTGACTCGTAAGGTGCGGAATCTCCCGACTTTAAACTTTGCCTTCCTTCACCTGCCTGGCTCCCCAGACCCTCCCCCGGAAGCCTGTCCCGGAGACAGGGGTGTCGGGATGAAGCCCTCACTGTGGAGTGGGGTCTGCCTCCGTTCTGATTGCTCCTGCCTTTGCTTCTTGGTGGAGTCGGCCTCATTCAGCCACACTGTTGGTTGAGTTGGTATAATTGGTCCCATCCCTCATCTACACGAGGGCGAGGTGTTATGGGGTCAGGAGCCGTGGGTTTCTTTCAGTCTCAATTCTGCCATGGATGGCTGTGACCTTGAACAGGCCATGCCTGCTGTCTGGGCCTCAGTTTCCTCATCTCTAAAGTACTCTGGTTGACCTCTGAGATCTCTACAGAGGATTTGGAGTCTGAAGACGTAGGTTTGAGTCCTGGCTTAACAACTGGGTGACTCGGGGCCGGCCCAGTGGCACAGCGGTTAAGTGTGCACGTTCCGCTTGGGTGGCCCGGGGTTCGCCGGTTCAGATCTCGGGTGCGGACATGGCACCGCTTGGCAAGCCATGCTGGGGTAGGCGTCCGACATATAAAGTAGAGGAAGATGGGCATGGATGTTAGCTCAGGGCCAGTCTTCCTCAGCAAAAAGAGGAGGATTGGCAGGAGTTAGCTCAGGGCTAATCTTCCTCAAAAAAAAAAAAAAACTGGGTGACTCTGTTGGGGGTCACTTGACTTTTTTGAGCCATATCTTCCTCCTGTGTGAGACTAGCACACAGGAATGCTGTGTAGTCCTTCTGACTCGGTGGACGTCAGGATCAAAACCAGATAATGTGGGTGAAAGTAAGAAGGCAAAATGTTATTCCTCCCACTGGCTGTAACAGAGGAAAGAAAAGGAACACCAGGTGGAGGATGCCTGGCTGGGGAAGGATGGCCAGGTTCAGGGCAAGGAGCAGTGTGCAGGCCCTGGGGGAGGGCCGGTCTCCATCAGGAGGAGAGGACGGAGGCAGCGAGAGGGCACATGAGGGCTTCCGGCACCTCTCGGGGTGAAGCGCCCAGAGCAGCTTTGCTCCCGCTGCAGGATGCCCGTGTGTATGGCCAGGACAGTATCCCTCGAAACGTGGCCAGAGGCGGGGTGAGGGGGTGGTCAAGGGACTAGCACAGGCCTTGACGGGGGAGAGCCGAGTTCCAATCCAGACTCAGATTTCTGATCCGAGCAGTGTCCCGCACCCTGTTTGCTGTGAGGTTTGAACGAGCTCAGCCCTCTCAAGGCCACAGTGACGCTGAGCACAGAGTAGGCGCTCCGTGGATGTAATCCCCCTCCCCCTCCTGCGTTTGCGCCCCCTGCATCTTCACCGAGGCAGCAGGGCCAAGGGGCTCAGAGCCCAGCCCCTGGCACCGAGCTGCTTGCTTCCAATCCTGCCTCTGCTTCCTCCTAGCTGTGTGACCTTTTGTACCTCAGTTTCCTCATCTGTAAAGTGTGGATGATACTAGTACCCACCTCATAGGGTTTTGGGGCACTAAAAGGGTATTATGTATAAAGCACGTAGGACAGTGCCTACCCACGGTGAGGACTGTATGGGCCTCAGTGCTGCTGTTGTCATCCTGTTTGAACTGGAAGGCCCGCAGAGGTGATGGCAGTGACTTGCCCGAGATCATAGAGTTAAAAACATCTGGGGGAGGCACCAGGGCCTCCTGGCTCTGGGCCCCCCTGCCAGGCTGACCACCCACTTCCTGCCGAGCAGAATCAGCCTTGGGGCACGAGTTCCAGGGCTCTCTGGGCAGGAGCCCTGCCTCTCCCAGGGGAGGGGGTGCAGAGGGGGCAGTGAAGGGGGTCGCCTCCTCCTTGCCTTGCCCTCACCTCCCCAGCCCCTCCTACCCCAGAGAAGCAGAACGGAGCAGAGCAGGTGACCTTGACTGGCTCTGACAGCTACAAAAATTCTTGTCTGCCAGGCGAGCCTCTCGTGTGGCCGCTGCACTGACGGGAAGCCTCGGTCACAGAGCAGATCATGGGGAGGAAAGAACACCGTGGGGGTGACTGGCCCCCTCTGTCCAGGCTCCTTCAGGGCTGGGGGCTCGTCTGGGTCTGAGGACTCAGGAGGAACCGCCCTGCTGGTGCCGGGTCTGCAGGAGGGGGGCGTGGGGCCAGCCGAATGCCCAACAGCCAGCTTAGCAGAAAACCCCAAACAAGCCCCGAACAAGAAAACAAGCAACCCCCAGGATGCCTACTTAACTCTGAATTTCAGATAAACAACAAATAATATCCTAGTATGAGTGTGTCCCATGCAATATTTGGGATATACTGAAACACCAGATTTGTTTTTGTTTTCTGAAATTCAATATTTATTGGGTGTCTTGTATTTTACCTGGCAGCCCTTTGTCATTATAAGCGTCATCTCTTTTCATGGAACAGCTGTGCCTGCCAGGTACCTCTACCCACGATTTACCCAACAAGAAACAAATGAGGCGGGAAGACGCAAAGCGGTTTGCACCAGGGCACGTAGTGGGTGGCTGAGATGAGCTGGCTCTCGGGGGTGTCCGATCTCCCACCGAATTCTTCCTGATGGGCAGAGAACTGGGGAATATCCCCAACACTGGCCCTCCCCATCTCTGATTCTCCTGGTGACACTGGCTGACCTTCCAGCCCCAGAGTCTGTACCTGGTCTGGGGGTTCTCCCGGGAGACAGTGGGTCACCAAGGACACGGTGACCATCCCTCTCTAAGTAGAAGGGGTTCCTACTGGAAGCAAGAGGCCTGGGCAATCGGCTGGGGTTGCGCAGGGGTAGGGGTCGGGGGAGTGGGGAGGGTCTGAGAGGCAGGGACATGCAGAATAACATTCTTCTCAGCCCACAGTGATCCTGAAAACCTCTCCCGTCCCTCCCTCACGTGCTCTTCCCTTTCCAGCAGCCCAGTGAGGTGGGCGGGGCCCCTGCATGCAGATCACTGGGGGGCTTGTTTGAAATGCATGTTCCTGGGCCCCGGACCTACTGCATGAGGCTGGGGGATGAGGCCCAGGGCTCTGACCTTTAACAAGTCTGTACCCCCTCAGGGGCTTGCTGGGTCCCCAAAAGCTTGAGAAATGCAGCTGGAGGGGAGGGCTTTTTGCCGCAGCTCTGGAAGCCCAGGTCTCCTCATGGCTCAGTCACTCACGGGCTGTGTGACTTCAGAGGACCTGTCTGCTCTCTCTGTGCCTCAGATTTTTCTTTTGTAAACAAAGGAATGTGGGCAGGAGGATTTTAAGACTCCTTCCAACTCTAAAATTCTATGATTTCAAGGGAAGGGAATACTATCCATGTTTTAAAGGTTGGGAAGTTGAAGCCTGGGGAGGCCAGGTCCCTCCAAACGTCCCTCTGCTGGAGTCCGGAGGGCTGGAGTCTCTGTGCAGCAGGGAGCGGCAGAGCGCCAGACGACCCTGGGCCCTGGGCTCCCAGGCCTGAGATGCTGTCACAGGGTGGAAGGACTTTCCACACGTGTCCCCAGCCTTGCTCCTGGAGCCACAGGAAGGAACGGCCACTGGCATTGAGAATCAATCGCCAGTGGCCATGGTGCTATCTCTGGCTCGGCTTCAGAGGGGCAGAGAGCGAGCAGACTTCCAGGTGCCGCAGCCCACACCACGTCCTGGGGGTGTATGACAGGGCGGGCATGTGCAGGTCCCAGGCCAGGAGGCTGAAGAGACCAGACACCTTCTTGCACCTTCCTTTCCAGCCACGGCCATACGTGGCCTGCAGGTGACAGCCCGTAGTACTAAGGAAGAAAGGTGAGCTGATCTGCGCC